TTTATTACCCGACGAGGACTTGCCACTCGCCGCTTTATTGAGGGAGCTTCACTAAGCTCGTACCAATGGCCGTCATGAAGGACTTCTCTGAAGCAGACTCGGTGCGAGAAGGCCCGATTGGGATCGATGGCACCACCGGAGACACCACTCTCGTCGACAATCTCGTCATCACCATCGTTATCGTTATTGCCCTCGTTACTGCCATTGTCGTCCTCGTTGCTGCCGTTGTCACTTTCGTTGTCCTCAAAATCGTCATCGGATCTAATATCGTTGAAGTGTCTCTCGAGAAGACTCTTTCTCTGAGACCCATCTGAGATCAATGGTCAAGAACGATTCCGGCACAAGAGTGAATTTACCGGCTCGAGAACAGGAGGAGCTAGGAGCATTCTTTCCACCGGTCCTATGCTCGGCTTCCGCCGAGCCCTCTGAGGGTCTCTCTTTACGCATCTTTGAAGGGCGAGACGATGAGCGCGTCTAAGGGGAACAACTTCCGCGACGAAGTCAAAAGAAAAGGGGGGGCATTACCTGACGGGGCTTAGTGAGTGCGGCTATGCCCGCCGCATCCTGAGATGGTTCACCAGAGACCGTAGGGGCCTCGCCGGACTGATCAGCAGCTGCAGCACCCTCAGAGGGCTTGCCTGGAGCAACAGTATCTCCTGAGGCCTCGGTAGGAACTAGAGCTTCCTTGGGTGGCCTGCCAGACTTTGTAGGCGGCGACATAGAGGTCTGATGAAACCTGAAAACCCGAGAGGGACGATGACAACCTTAACCCAGGCTTGCAAAGCAAGAGAGGAAGAGAACTCGAAAGTTCCGCATTTGAGAGGCCCAAGGGCCGCGAATGTATGGAGAGAACCCGAAGGCTGAGAGTATAAATGACCCGAAGGTCAAGAGGAAGAGGACTCGAGAGTCCAACAAGTGAGGGCCCGAAGGCCAGGCCTTCAAGGCCTAGATCAAGCAGGCTCGAAAGCCAAGAGCAAGGAGGGGGGGGGACTCGAGATCCACGTAAGAGAAGGAATGGGAGGGTCCCCCCTACGGGGGTATAGCCCATCAAGCATGCCTCACTTGAGCT